TAGTTGTATCAGTACCCGCACCAAATAGGTCCTATAACATTTGTACATCAAAATATATAACCATATATTGCAGCAATTAAAAGAAAATTCATTAATTAGAATAATAATTAATAGAAACTAACATAAGCTCATGATAAATGATGGTAAGAGAATACGAACCAGGAACATGGACATGATGCGATTATGATCAATTTCTTCAAGATTTTTTTCAATAATATTGAGAAACATTTCCAGAACATCACTCTTTTCCATGAATCCTGATCTTCTCTTTTCCTCCAATCGCTCATTGATCAAACCATCAAAAAGTTTACACAACTTACCAAAATGAATGATTGCACGACGTCTTATTCCTTGAAGATCTATCTTTTCAAGTATCGGAAAAAAATCTACTAGGTTAGGCTTCCCTACCTCAGCCATGACACCCCAGATAACTTCCTTCAACTCTACCTTTGAATCTGAAAAAGGGTCAGCCAAATCCTTGGAGAAAAGTGTGTTTGACAACAAGTTGAGATTAGTCTTGAAAGCAACTTGACCTACATCCAAAGCTTCACCTTGTTGACTACATTTGTCACAATAAGCAATCAATTGTTTTACCTTTTGAGACCTTAGATGTTGATTTGCATCAAGCTTATTGGAAGAGAAGAGGTTAGTGTTCAATATTCTGCGAAGTGTTCGCCATTGAGGACAAACAGGAAGCCATGCCACAGAAAATTTGTAATGGTTGTGTGCTTGAAGAGCATTAGGAACAAATCTAGATGAAAAGGCTTGATCTTGAGTTTTAAGGACTTGTTTTGCCACGGATGATGAAGAAATTACTATTGTTGTTATTTGTCCTAATTTTAAACTCATAATTGGACCATAGTTTTTTGCAAGATTGGCTAGTGATATATGAGGTTTTGCACCTAACAAGTGAAGATTTCCAATAATTGGCCATGGTGATGGCCCTGGTGGAAGTTTTTTGCTTCCTTTGCTACATATTTTTGCTATGATATTACAAAGGGTTGCCAATACTAAAATTGATCCAAACACAAGTGTATAGCAATCCATTATGCCTCTCTCCCTTGCTTCAACTTTGAAAGCTAACAAGATATATGTACAAGTCAATAATAGGATATCATAAATGATACAGGATGCATGTGTGTGTCAGTAAATATCATAAAATCAATAATGTACAAGTCAATAACAACCACTCCTTTCAAACTGACATATTAAATAAATATTGCTTTAAAAAAATCTTGATTGAAAGGATTTCTCTCTTTCAATTTTTTTCTACTAATTAAAAATCAATCAATTTCAATTGGAGTCACTCCACGAACATTTAGGGAAATGATAAATGTTAGTGAAATATTACAAAATAACAGAATTACAAAATTATAATTGAAAATAAAAATGAAGAAATAAAATCTCTTCAGACTGAGGCGCGGATATCTCGCTCTCTTTAAGGGGATTTAAGTCCACTGCAGCAAATGTTTTTCACTGGTTCAACAGTAGTCCTTCTTGACTTGTCCCCTCCAGGATACAACAGCCTATTCACAAAATATAACTCAACAACTCTGGACAAGAGTTGAGTCCAAAACTCCACAAAAGAAACACCTTCCTTCAACTAATAAGAACTCTCTTTTTGATAAACTTTATGCACTCTATATTTTCTTGTGTGTATTGTATCTCCCAAACCAAATGAAGACCACCACTATTTATACTAGAAGAAGTCTTCCTAGCAATGAATAGGAAGATAATGGGATAGTAAATAGTAAAGATAATGGCTTTAGAAATTACATAGGTTACAAGGTATAATGGAGGAATTAAGAGTGAAATGAAATGAGGGGTATCCAATGCCATCAATGGCTAATTTCTCTAACGGATTGCTGCTCAACTTATTGAAGAATTGGAATGAGCACTAACTCCAAAATAAGATGGAGTAATGCAGCAATAAAGTAGTTCCAACGGCATCTAATGAAATGCCACCTAACCGTTGGAAGGCAGTAACCAAAAGTAAGTAAAGGATAGCAAATTAATATTACAAAGAATTAATATTAAAATGCTAACAAGATATATGTACAAGTCAATAATAGGATGCATATGTGTGTCAGTAAATATCATAAAATCAATAATGTACAAGTCAATAACCACCACTCCTTTCAAACTGACATATTAAATAAATATTGCTTTAAAAAAATCTTGATTGAAAGGATTTCTCTCTTTCAATTTTTTTTCTATTAAAAATCAATCCATTTCAATTGGAGTCGCTCCACGAACATTTAGGGAAATGATAAATGATAGTGATTCTTTAATAGGGAAATTTGATAAATCATATGTTTTGTTTTTTTGGTTTTAATGAACAATGGGATTGAAAGAATAATTAATATTCTTTTTTAAAAAAAAAAATCTCAGATGGATTATTTATTATATCAAAAATAGGTCCAATTAAAAAAAAGTAGACGAAATAGAAGGGTAGAAAATTACATCACTCTATCATAGACAGTACAACTGATTGACTTTGAAGTAATTGAGCTGATGCGACTTAAATATATTAGTAGCCTATCGCCAAATTCAAACAAAGTTCATAAATTTTAATTATTTTTTAAATAAATTTATTTATAATTAATTCGTTTAATATTTTTTGATATGCAATATTTTAGATTTATCAAAATTTCTAATGAACTTTTTCTCTTTTATGAAAATTTTATATTTTCTAAATAATATTCATTTTAAAAAATAAAATAAAATTATAATCTATTATTACTTAAAGAAAAGAAGAAGAGGTCCCTCAAATTAGGTGGCCCAAGGCTTCTGTCATTTTATTAGGCTAGTAGAGCCACCCTGGACCTCGTCATATCAAAGAGTAGAAGAAGGCATATGGAGTACTATTTTATTTTTAATCATTAATGTGTAATTATAGATGTATTCTACTACTACTATTATTATTATTATTATACATAGTCTATAAGGGGAAAATTTAGTAAATATTAAAAAATGGTGAAAGACGAAATTTAAAGATTACCCTAAAATAGACCTTTTTGCTAATATTCAGTTGGACATAATTAATGAACTATTTTTTCTGCTTTTAAAATAGACTATTTTTTGTTTTTTCTCTTCAACGATAGGGATATCCATATCTATATAATATATAGTTCTAAGAATTATTGGCATATATTTAGCCAAGATTAGATTAAAATCTAAAAAGATTGGCATTGTATAGCAAAAATCTAAAAAGTTTGGCATTATATATAGCAAAAATTCATTGTGTCCACAAGCACATCTTATAGGCACATGCCTATTTGTTTTTATCATAAAAACTGAAATGTACATGACACATGACTTGTATTATCACTGACAAAATGTGTTTGTATCAATTTTTGCTTTGATTTTTCTTTATATTATTATAGCAAAAATATGCATGCAGAAGAGGAAGCAAAAAACTTCCACCATGGCCAATTATGGGAAATCTTCACTTTGTAGGTCAAATTGCTTTCAAAACAATAACTTGATTGTAACATCTGAGTATGCTGTGTATCGATATGTATATTTAGTACAAGGTGTATATTATCTATATGCAAGATAGTTTAAAGGAATTGAGCGGTAATTATTCATTTATATTTTCATGGATTAATTTTGTCAGCTCTGATTACAATATTAATATAACAGTTTATGATTTTTTATTTCAATTAAAGGTAGAGACAAATGATTTTTTTGTGTAAATATCAACATGAATTGCTATACTGTTGATATAAATGTTTATGACCCCTTTTTTGGATTCAAAGGTAGAGTTGAATGTGATTTTGACATCCCAACCCCTCATTTTGATTTTTTACAGAAATTAAATGGTGCATTTAATATAATGTACTCATGTTGTTATAACTATAATAATTATGTTATCAATCTGTTTTTTTAGAAGTGTTTCTCAATATATTAGTGAAAAAAAAATCTTGAAGAAATTAATCATATATAATTATCAGATCAAGTCCATGTTCCTGATTCATATTTTTTTTTCTAATTAATGTATCATGAGTTTTAAGTTAATACACATTATTCCAACTATCATTTACATAGTATATGTCAACTTAATGTGATAGGGTAAATTTCTTTTAATATATGAAGGTAATATATATTAAATATTAACTTTGTAGAAATTATAAAGAATTCAGGCTTATTACATTGAACACACTATGCAAAGCGCTCTCTCTTTCTTCCTTCAACTTTGTTAGTATTATTCACAAATTTGATGTGTTATGTTGCACAATGTATATTTATATATATTGCTTGACTTTCCAAAAACAATAGTGCAATGTGTGAATAATAAATTTTGTACACAACTGTTGAATAATTACACAATGCCTAATTTTTGAGTAACTTTCTTGGTATTGAACTACTTTCATCCATTAATATCAAATGGTCCTATTATGTACTATCATAGAGTGAAAATTGATGCATAGAGCAATTACTGAGGCATAATTTTTGTGGAACTTTCTTGGTCAACATGAACTATTTTTATCCATTAAGCATAACATGTTCATATACAGTTATACATTACTCTCTTGATCTCTAAACAGTTGTCATAGTATGATTTAGTATTTTTAAATTATGATCATTTTCCTTATGACTTGTTGATTTGCAATATTTGTTTTACTCGATTTCATTATTATTATTTTTTTGTTGGATATTTTAGTGTCATTAATCATATCATATTTTGTGTTAATTTCTTAAGAAACACCTTAGATAGTTATATTTTGGTAGGACTAAAGAAATATTTAAAGTACAAGTAAATTATATGTTTGTATGAATACTTCACCGGAAAAACCCGAAAAAATCCGAAAATCCGAAAAACCCGAAAAAACCGAAAAAACCCGAGGTTGAAAAACCCAAGTTTTATTGGTTTGGTTTGGTTTATAGATTTAAAAATCCGACACAAATAATTTGGTTTGATATTTGAAGAACCCGAACCAACCCTAATATGTACACCCCTAGTACTACTATTGCACAACATGAATCTCCTCTTTTGATCTTCATAATCTTTTATATTTATTCTCTTTTTGTCTATTTTTCTAAAGAAAATAACATTAATGAGAAACATCATATAGTCAATATACATATATATATATATATATATATATATATATATATATATATATATATTACATAGGTATTATACATATCACTTAATCATGGTTAAGTCACGATGAAGTGATAAGATTATTAAGACTTAAATACTTTGGTTCATTGTAAATATCAAATACAAAGAAGTATTTATCGACTAGGCAATGCAACATCAAAGAGGAGAGGGGATAGCTCGCAAAGGACGAGCTTTAGCTAAGGTGATACCAAACTTCTCCTCCATGTCTAATTCTTCTGGCTCAATGCCTGCTTCAAGTTTCCAATTGAATGAATTCAAGAGTGAGCCCAACATTACTGGAATCATCCTCGATGCTAGTGGCAAGCCAGGGCATAGTCTTCGCCCCGCACCAAATGGAATCAACTCAAAATCTTGTCCTCTCGTGTCCAAATCCAAACTCAAAAATCTCTCGGGTTTAAACACTAAAGGGTCCTTCCAAAAAGTAAAATCTCGACCAATCGTCCACACATTAACTAGTACCTGTGAGTAAAGGCATCAAATTAAATGAGTTAGTTAATTTATGTTTGTATTGATCAAAAGAGCTAATCAATAAATAGAAAGGTCATTAACTCGCCCAAAAATATCAGAGCTAAGATTGAGTACTAAATAATAGGTCAAACCTAATCCGTCCAACTCTAACCAAGTTTTAATTTCTTTATTTTTGAAAAAGAAATACCAAACAAGTCAAAATTAATTTGATAAATTTTCTTTTGGGTCTTTTTTTGGAGTACTATTCATATTATATTCGTCAAATAACTTGAAGTTTTGACCAAAATAAGCTATTTAAAAAACCAATTCACCAAACTAATACACTTTTTAATTTTTTTACAAAAGTAGTATAAACGTACTTCATGGTAACGTTTTAGGTTATTTTTATTTTAAAAATTCAACGGACAAAAACTGACGGAACTGACGACGTTAAATGAAAAAACGTTATTGTGAGTAACGTTTTACGTGTAAAACGTTACTCACAATAACGTTTATTGAGAATCCAATCATGTCAACCCTGCAAATGCAGAATCAAATCCTGCAAATTTAAAATGTTACTTATAGTAACGTTTTAGGTGTAAGAATCCAATCACGGGTCTTCGACTCTTGCAAATTTAGAATAAATCCTGCAAATTTAGCTATAAAACGTTACTCATAGTAACGTTTTACCTCAAAAACGTGACTGTCAGTTACGACACTCTGTTAAAGTCTTCCTTCATTTTTTAAACTGACCACATGTGATTGTAAAATAAATGTTGCTGTAAGGAATGTTTTGCATATTCCAACAATATTCAACAAAACTTTTACTTGTGTTGCCCATTGTTAAAATAATTTTCACAAAACTTCATTAGGTAATAAGTCAAGTGTATCATATTATTAAGAGATTTTTTAAAATAATATTAATAAATTAGAAAAATAATTTTAAAGCTATAGTAAGAACTTAACATAATATGATAAACTTCACTTATTCTAAATTTGCAGGAGTTGAAGACCCGTGATTGGATTCTTAGTAAACGTTACTCATAGTAACGTTTTAGGTGTAAAACGTTATTGTGAGTGACGTTTTAGGTGTACAACGTTACTCATAGTAACGTTTTAAATTTGCAGGATTTGATTCTGCATTTGTAGGGTTGACGTGATTGGATTCTCAATAAACGTTATTGGGAGTAACGTTTTACACCTAAAACGTTACTTACAGTAACGTTTATTCATTTAACGTCGTCAATTCCGTCAGTTTTTGTCCGTTGAATTTTTAAAATAAAAATAACCTAAAACGTTACCATGAAGTATGTTTATACTACTTTTGTAAAAAATTTAAAAAGCGTATTAGTTTGGTGAATTGATTTTTAAAATAGCTTATTTTGGTCAATGTTTCAAATAACTTTAATTTGGCACACATACCTGTGAGCCCTTGGGAATGATGTAGTCACACAATTCAACATCTTGCTCCACTTTGCGCGGAACTAAGAGCGGAATTGGTGGGTGCATTCTTAATGTTTCTTTGATAATGCATTGCAAGTAAGGGAGTCGAGAAACATCAACTTCTTCTATTGGTTTTCCTTTTCCAATGATTTCTGCGAGTTCAACTTGAGCTTTTTTTATTATCTCAGGTTGTTTAAGCAATTCTGTCATTGCCCATTCCAATGTGCTTGTAGTTGTATCAGTACCCGCACCAAATAGGTCCTATAACATTTGTACATCAAAATATATAACCATATATTGCAGTAATTAAAAGAAAATTCATTAATTAGAATAATAATTAATAGAAACTAACATAAGGTTATGATAAATGATGGTAATTAAGAGAATACGAACCAGGAACATGGACTTGATGTGATTATGATCAATCTCTTCAAGATTTTTTTCAGTAATATTGAGAAACATTTCCAGAACATCACTCTTTTCCATGAATCCTGATCTTCTCTTTTCCTCCAATCGCTCATTGATCAAACCATCAAAAAGTTTAAACAACTTACCAAAATGAATGATTGCACGACGTCTTATTCCTTGAAGATCAATCTTTTCAAGTATGGGAAAAAAATCTACTAGGTTAGGCTTCCCTACCTCAGCCATGACACCCCATATAACTTCCTTCAACTCTACCTTGTTTATAAAAGAAAAGTGGAGTTTGTTGTCATTTTATCCTTAACGATCTAAGTTGTTTACATTCTTTTACAAGCTTTATATGTGTGGCTCGTGTCTTATTGCTTTACTTTGAGTCCAGTTATGTATATGAGTCGCTCAGAGTCAAGGTAAGTGATCTCTTGTTCCCTTTTCAAGCTTAAGTTGTTTTTAGCGGTCCAGCTCGCGTACTCGTACATTCCATGTACTGATGCCAGTTGGCCTGCATCGTTTTATGATGCAGACGCAGGTACCCAGGATCAGCATCCTGCACACCGTTGATCCAGTTGAGCACTCTAGAGTCAGTGGTGAACCTCCTTGCTTCCAAAGGGCTCAGTTATTTTGTTCTCTTAGTTTTGTTTATTAGGGTGTTGTGGGGTCTGTCCCAACATCCATCTAAGTATTTTAGAGGCTTCATAGACAGTCAGTCAGTTAGTTTTGAGTCTCTTATCTATGTATATATGTAAGTATTCTATTTTGAGACTCGAGTTGCCTTTTTGGCCAGATATGTATCATTTAAGTTGTTTATGCCTCTGCATAGCATTGAGTTATTCTGTTGAGTAGGTTTCCGCTGAGTTAAGAAAGCCAGGCCAAGGGTTCGCTTGGGGCCAGCAATGGTCTCCGAGTGCCGGTCCCGCCCAGGGTATAGGCTCGGGGCGTGACAGCTGAGACTTCAGATTTCTGGTGACACAGATGGGACTTACGGTCGCCATCGACGGACCGTAGATGGACTTACGGTCCGTACTGCAGGTCCGTAGATTGCGTCAGAGATTTTCCCCAGAATTTCATTTAAGAAAAAGACTAAGTGTTGGCCTACGGTCATGACTTACGGTCCGTAGGTCAGGCCACGGACCGTAGGTCGTGACCGTAGATCGATGCCCCAAAAACCAACTTCTGTTTCGATTGACGGTTGACCAGTACGGACCGTTAATCGATCTACGGTCCGTAGGTCAGTCCCGTAGATGGGGATCGACAGCCCAGAAACTTCTGCAAATCGATGGTGGATCAACCTCTAAAGGGTCATAGCTCTTAGAATCATAATCCCCTCAACATACAATAGGTTTCAACTTAATGCACAACCCAATCAAACCTCACAACGAACAATATCAACCACAACTAACAACTTCGACACTTCAACAACAATTCCCAAATCTTTTCTCAAAGCATAAAATAAACTTGGTGTGTGTGAGGGAAAGGATCAACCCACACGGAAAACTCACATACCTTGATAGGGATCACCCCCGACGAAATTCCACAATGGTCTTGACAAATCTCCTCTTTCTTCTCTTCTTCTTCTTCTCCTTCTTCTCTTCTTCAATCACAAGAACCCTAACTCTTTCTCTTACCAAAAATGGGACAAAAATGATCCAAAGATCATCCTAATACAACAATATGAGCTCAAAAGAATTGGCTAGGGAAAAGACTAAAATGCCCTTAATGATTCCCGGACGGATCTCCTTGTCAACTGCCCAACTTTCGAAGGTCATAACTCCCTCATACGAACTCGGAATCGAGCAAACTCGGTGGCGTTGGAAAGGTCGTTCCACGAACTTTGCAACCATAACTGGAATTCCACCTAACTCATCCTGAGCTAGAATTTATGGCTGTTCAAAGTTGGCCAAAATTTCACATTTTCCATACTTAGCCAAAATTTTCCAAAACTTTAAATTCTTTCCAAAAAATGAAAATTTCCAATTCTAAGCCTCTTCAATTATTTCATATTGCCGGATGTTACAATATCTCCCCCTTGGGAACATTCGTCCTCGAATGAGGTTGCTCTAACAAAACTAAGGGTGTAACATCTAACTCAAACACTCAACAAGCAATCATGCAAACAACAACAACAACTACAACATGCCCATTATATATTAAAGAGCACTAAGAAGGAAATTAATACCTTAATCCGCATTCCCTCCGGATTCAAAAAGATGAGGATATCTCTTCTTCATGTCTTCTTCGGCTTCCCAAGTGGCTTCCTCAACAAATTGGTTCCTCCAAAGGACCTTGACTGATGCCACATCTTTCGTTCTCAACCTACGAACTTGGCGATCTAAAATCTGAACCGGCACCTCCTCATAAGATAAGTTATCCTTGATCTTAACACTTTCAGTCGGTAGGATCAATGAAGGATCACCTATGCACTTTTTCAACATAGAGATGTGAAATACCGGATGGACCGCTGCTAGCTCTTGTGGTAGCTCTAACTCGTAAGCCACACTGCCGACCCTCTGGACTATGCGATAAGGTCCGATATACCGGGGACTAAGTTTCCCCTTCTTACCAAACCTCATAACTCCCTTCATGGGTGAAACCTTCAAATATACCCAATCATCTACTTCAAACTCTAACGCCCTTCTCCTAACATCAGTGTAGGACTTCTGGCGACTCTGTGCCGTTTTCAACCTCTCTTGAATCACTTTCACCTTTTCCATAGCTTGGTGAACTAAATCTGGTCCTATCAACCGTGCTTCACCAACTTCGAACCATCCAATAGGAGATCTACATCTTCTCCCATATAGAGCTTCGTATGGAGCCATCTGGATGCTAGAATGATAACTGTTGTTGTAGGCAAACTCAATGAGAGGTAGGTGATCATCCCAGTTGCCTTTGAAATCGATCACACAAGCTCTCAACATATCTTCTAAGGTCTGAATAGTGCGCTCTGCTTGCCCGTCAGTCTGAGGATGAAATGCAGTACTTAAGTTCACCTTCGAACCCAAACCCTTCTGAAAAGATTTCCAGAACTGTGCAGTAAACTGTGCACCTCTATCTGAAATAATGGAGATTGGCACTCCATGAAGTCTCACTATCTCTTGAATGTACAACTTGGCATAATCTTCTGCCGAATGGGTAGTCCTTACCGGTAGAAAATGGGCTGACTTTGTCATTCTGTCGACAATCACCCAAATAGAATCATGCTGTCTGCGAGACCTTGGCAACCCTGTGATGAAATCCATATTGATCATCTCCCACTTCCATTCCGGAAGCTCTATATTCTGAGCCAAACCACCGGGCCTTTGGTGTTCAACTTTCACTTGTTGGCAATTTGGACACTTAGCAACGAACTCTGCAATGCCCTTTTTCATGCCATTCCACCAATAAAATTCTCTCAAGTCACGGTACATCTTCGTGGAACCCGGATGAACGGAATATCTGGAGCTATGAGCTTCCTCCATAACCCTTTCTTGGAGTCCATCTACCATAGGTACACACAATCTACCTTGATATCTCAAAACGCCATCTCCCCCTTGTTCAAATGCTAATACTCTTTGCTTTTGAACATTTGCCTTCAACTCAAGCAAAATGGGATCTTGATCTTGCTTCTCTTTCACTTCTGACATCAATGATGACTCGGCCTTGCTCGTCACCGCAATTTCTCCTTCTGCGGAATCTGTAAATCTGACTCCCAGACATGCCAGTCTGTGCACATCTTTTGCCAACTCTCTCCTTCCTTCTTCAATATGGGCGGTGCTACCCATAGACAACCTGCTCAAAGAATCAGCAACAACATTAGCCTTACCTGGGTGGTAAAGAATACTCAGGTCATAATCCTTGAGTAACTCTAACCACCTCCTCTGTCTGAGATTAAGCTCTTTCTGAGTAAGCACATATTGAAGGCTCTTGTGATCAGTGAATATGTCAACATGCACACCATACAAGTAGTGACGCCATAACTTCAAAGCAAATACTACAGCAGCTAGCTCTAAGTCATGGGTTGGGTAGTTCTTCTCATGAACCTTCAACTGTCTGGAGGCATAAGCGATAACTTTGCCATTCTGCATTAAGACACAACCCAAACCAATTCTAGATGCATCACAATACACCACAAGACCTTGAGTACCTTCTGGTAGCGTCAAAACTGGAGCTGTAATCAATCTCTTTTTCAATTCCTGAAAGCTTTTCTCACAAGCTTCGGACCATTGAAATTTCACCGTCTTCTGAGTCAACTTTGTCAAAGGAGATGCAATAGACGAGAACCCCTCAACAAACCTTCTATAATAACCAGCTAAACCCAAGAAACTCCTAATTTCAGTTGGAGATGTGGGTCTAGGCCAATTCTGCACTGCCTCAATTTTCCGAGTATCAACTTTAATTCCCTCACCGGACACAAGATGACCTAGGAACGCCACAGACTTAAGCCAAAACTCACACTTTGAGAACTTGGCATACAACTCCTTGTCTTTCAAAGTCTGAAGAACTGTTCTGAGATGACTAGCATGATCTTTTTCATTCCTTGAATAGATTAGTATGTCATCAATAAAGATAATAACAAACATATCTAAATAAGGTCTGAAGACTCTATTCATCAGGTCCATGAAAGCAGCCGGCGCATTGGTCAAACCAAAAGACATGACTAAAAACTCATAATGACCGTATCTGGTTCTGAAAGCTGTCTTTGGAATATCACGTTCCCTTACTCTTAACTGGTGATAACCTGATCTGAGGTCAATCTTCGAAAAACAGGTGGCACCCTGAAGCTGATCGAAAAGATCATCAATCCTCGGAAGAGGGTACTTATTCTTGATGGTAACCTTATTCAACTGGCGGTAATCTATACACATCCTAAGGGAACCATCTTTCTTTCTCACAAACAAAACCGGAGCACCCCAAGGTGAGACACTCGGTCTAATGAAACCCTTCTCTAGAAGATCTTTCAACTGCTCTTTCAACTCTTTCAACTCTGCTGGTGCCATTCTATAAGGCGGAATAGAGATAGGACGAGTATCTGGTATGAGATCTATGCCGAAATCTATTTCTCTCTCGGGAGGAATTCCGGGTAGATCATCAGGAAAAACTTCTGGAAACTCTCTTACTATAGGAACCGACTGAAAATAAGGTATCTCAACACTAGAGTCATGAACTCGGGCTAAGTGATAGATACAACCCTTTGAAACTAACTTTCTTGCCTTAAGGTACGAAATAAAACGACCCTTGGGCACTGCTGAACTACTGCTCCACTCTAAGATTGGCTCACTCGGAAACTGAAACTTGACCACTCGAGTTCTACAATCTATCGATGCATAACAAGCATGAAGCCAATCCATACCTAAAATGACATCGAAATCTACCATGTCTAACTCAATCAAATCAACCATGGTGCTCTTGTGATTGATAGAAACAGGACAATCACGATAAACTCTTTCAGCTAGGATAGATTCCCCAACAGGTGTAGAGACACAAAAGGGTTCACAAAGTCTTTCAGGAAGAACATCAAACTTATTCGCAACATAAGGAGTCACAAAAGATAAACTTGCTCCTGGATCTAACAAGGCATATACATAAAAAGCAAAGACTTTGATCATACCAGTGACAACATTTGGAGAGTTCTCTTGCTCATGGCGACTGGTGATCGCATAAAGGCGATTTGCTCCTCCACCGGTACTAGAAGTAGCTCCTCTAGGTGCCATCCTGTCTGGGGGAGCAACTGATGAAGATTGGGTCCTACTACCCAAACTTCCACTACCTTGATTATTCTTAGGGCACTCCTTCACAAAGTGACCCTCTTGCCCACACTTAAAACATCCTGTCTGGCCATCACGACATTTGCCTGGGTGGGTTCTACCACACCTAGCACATGCAGGAAACAAACTGCTTCTTTGTGCCACACTACCTGAGGACTGTACTGGTCTAGCCTTGAAGTCCTTCGAATTCTGGCCATTATGACCACCTCTATACCTTGGTGCGGGTGCGCTAACAGATGATGGAGCAGGTCCCTTTTGCCTTTCTTGGAAGGACGGACGACTCACATTACCTTTCTGCTGCCCAGGCTCATTACCGGTCTTGGCTCTCTTACTCCTGAACTCTTCCCTATCCCTCAGTTTTCTTCCTCAACCTGCTGTACATAGACCATTAATCTGGATATGTCCATGTCCCCGATAAGCATTGCAGCCCTACCTTCCTTACTCGACAACCGAGACAGCCCAGCAACAAACAAGCTCATTCTATTCCTCATGTCCGCAACCATCTCCGGAGCATAGCGGGAAAGTTGGGTGAACTTCAGACTGTATTCGCGAACACTCAAGGGCTCCTGCTTAAGGGTAAGGAACTCACGTACCTTGGCCTCTCTCAATTCTCGAGGAAAGAAATGCCCCAAGAAAGCTTCCTCAAAATCGGCCCAACTCGCCGATGGTGCATTCTCAACTCTACCCCCTTTCCACTGGTCAAACCATGTTCTAGCAACATCCTTCAGCTGATACGCAGCTAGTTCAACCCGCTCAGTGTCTGCTACATGCATTACATCAAAAATCCTCTTCAACTCCTCAATGAAGTTCTCTAGGTCCTCAGTAGTGCTTGATCCCATGAAACTCGGAGGATTCATCCCCAAGAACTCACGGATCCTTGAAGTGTCAGCTCCTTCATGTCGAACTCCCCTTTGCTGACCCACCTGATTGGCTACAGCTTGACTCAACATCCTAATTGCCTCTCTGAACTCGGCATTAGAAACTTCCCCTTGATCTTGCACTCCCGGTGCATAGGGTAACTCTTGCTCATCAACATAGCGTCTAGGAAGACGCCCTCTACCAACTCTTCGTGGAGGCATGACTATCTGAAAACACGCGCAAGCACGGATTAAAAGGAAACTCTTTAGAGATCAACTCTAGCGCACGAGATGAGTATGAAAAAAAAAAATGGGAAACCTTCCTAAATGTTGTAGCCTCCCAATTATAGATGTGGCGCGCTTCACACCGATAACTAGGACTCTACAGACACGGCTTCATAGACACCCTAAGACTCTTGAACTCTGTGCTCTGATACCAAGTTTGTCACGCCCCGAGCCTACACCCTGGGCGGGACCGGCACTCGGAGACCATTGCTGGCCCCAAGCGAACCCTTGGCCTGGCTTTCTTAACTCAGCGGAAACCTACTCAACAGAATAACTCAATGCTATGCAGAGGCATAAACAACTTAAATGATACATATCTGGCCAAAAAGGCAACTCGAGTCTCAAAATAGAATACTTACATATATACATAGATAAGAGACTCAAAACTAACTGACTGACTGTCTATGAAGCCTCTAAAATACTTAGATGGATGTTGGGACAGACCCCACAACACCCTAATAAACAAAACTAAGAGAACAAAATAACTGAGCCCTTTGGAAGCAAGGAGGCTCACCACTGACTCTAGAGTGCTCAACTGGATCAACGGCGTGCAGGATGCTGATCCTGGGTACCTGCGTCTGCATCATAAAACGATGCAGGCCAACTGGCATCAGTACATGGAATGTACGAGTACGCGAGCTGGACCGCTAAAAACAACTTAAGCTTGAAAAGGGAACAAGAGATCACTTACCTTGACTCTGAGCGACTCATATACATAACTGGACTCAAAGTAAAGCAATAAGACACGAGCCACACATATAAAGCTTGTAAAAGAATGTAAACAACTTAGATCGTTAAGGATAAAATGACAACAAACTCCACTTTTCTTTTATAAACATAAAACAGCTTTTTGTGGGAGGTTCTTTAACCGACAACCACCACTACGAGCCTTAGTGATGATACAACGTTTTACCTCACGTTGCCAAAGGACCATCCTATACCTTGCCATCGATATAGGACCTTACTTTTGCTTAGTGGATCCACTAGCCTAATCTTGCGTGATCATCTAAAAAGAATGATACGACAAGTCCCATGTTGGCGCATGGTTCTTATGGAGAGTTGAGTTAATATGAACTCGTGTCCCCAATTCGGTGCTCAATACTACTCCCAAAAAATACTTTGGCTCATGCTTTTAAAATAACTTCTTTCTTTGATTGAGATACTTACTAAAACTTTAGCCCAAATGCTCCTTTGGGGAAAGAAAACGGGATTCCCTTCTTATTCAAATATAATAGCATTTACAACCTCCTTTGGGAATACTTAGTTCCCTAATAGCTTTCTCTCTCTTTTTATTTATTTTTTAGAGAAATCAACTTTAAACTCATGACTTAGCTTGAAACTAAGACTCTTACTCGACTTGAAACTTCACTTGACTTGGAACTATCTTTCCTTGAAGTGGAATTATGAATTCAAGGTGTTCGATCACATGTTATGGAAGGATTCTTGAACGCTTAGACGCACTTTGGAACGTCGAAAACAACTATAAAACATAGGTGAATTACTTTGGAACATGTATGAGAAAGTGAGAAAAGAAGAGGGGAAACTTGGCTGAGACTTCAGATTTCTGGTGACACATATGGGACTTACGGTCGCCATCGACGGACCGTAGATGGACTTACGGTCCGTACTGCAGGTCCGTAGATTGCGTCAGAGATTTTCCCCAGAATTTCATTTAAGAAAAAGACTAAGTGTTGGCCTACGGTCATGACTTACGGTCCGTAGGTCAGGCCACGGACCGTAGGTCGTGACCGTAGATCGATGCCCCAAAAACCAACTTCTGTTTCGATTGACGGTTGACCAGTACGGACCGTTGATCGATCTACGGTCCGTAGGTCAGTCCCGTAGATGGGGATCGACAGCCAGAAACTTCTGCAAATCGATGGTGGATCAACCTCTAAAGGGTCATAGCTCTTAGAATCATAATCCCCTCAACATACAATAGGTTTCAACTTAATGCACAACCCAATCAAACCTCACAACGAACAATATCAACCACAACTAACAACTTCGACACTTCAACAACAATTCCCAAATCTTTTCTCAAAGCATAAAATAAACTTGGTGTGTGTGAGGGAAAGGATCAACCCACACGGAAAACTCACATACCTTGATAGGGATCACCCCCGACGAAATTCCACAATGGTCTTGACAAATCTCCTCTTTCTTCTCTTCTTCTTCTTCTCCTTCTTCTCTTCTTCAATCACAAGAACCCTAACTCTTTCTCTTACCAAAAATGGGACAAAAATGATCCAAAGATCATCCTAATACAACAATATGAGCTCAAAAGAATTGGCTAGGGAAAAGACTAAAATGCCCTTAATGATTCCCGGACGGATCTCCTTGTCAACTGCCCAACTTTCGAAGGTCATAACTCCCTCATACGAACTCGGAATCGAGCAAACTCGGTGGCGTTGGAAAGGTCGTTCCACGAACTTTGCAACCATAACTGGAATTCCACCTAACTCATCCTGAGCTAGAATTTATGGCTGTTCAAAGTTGGCCAAAATTTCACATTTTCCATACTTAGCCAAAATTTTCCAAAACTTTAAATTCTTTCCAAAAAATGAAAATTTCCAATTCTAAGCCTCTTCAATTATTTCATATTGCCGGATGTTACAGAAACTTACACTCTCAATAGTTTGAACTCGTCAAATTTAAATCATGAATCTGTCTCTAATACCTGGGATGGGGCACACGTCATTTCCTTGGTGATATACCCAGGCTAAGGCTAGTTGAGATGGCGTACATCCAGTGCCGGCTCTTGCCTATAAAATTTTAGGCATTGGCCTTGGGCCCCAAATTTTTGGGGGCCTCAAATTTTTATAAATAAAAAATTATGTATCTTAACCCCATTCAAATAGAAGAAATTAAGGAAACATTGTTTTGGATTCTTACATTTTCTTCGTTAACACTCATATTATTTATCATTTGTAACTCTTTTTGCACTCTATTTTTTCAAATCTTTGATAGTTAGAGTAATATACTCTCAAAAATATGAATCAATAGTCGAAAAGTGTTGAACAAAGTGCATTGCAATTTTATTTTTTTTAATTTATTTGTTAATTTTCATATTAAAGTAGGTATACCAAGTTATCAACTTTTTGACTAATAAATAAATAAAAAAGTGTTTGAAAAATCATTTATATAAAAGATATTAAGTAGTAATTTACATCTAGAAATTTAGAAAAATAAATAGTTATAGATAAAATTTATATAGATTTTAGGCCTCTAATAAAAATTTCGCTTTAGGCCACAAATTATGTTGAGCCGCCCCTGCGTACATCTCTTCTTCGTTGCCATTTGGCAAATTCTCTCGTATAAGATCTTGTTATGCTCGAGATTCTCAGCTTGAAACCTAGGTATATGCTGCAAAATCAATATACAGTATTTATACAAGATTGTTTTCTTATAACAATCTAAATTTTAGATGAAATGATCGCACAGTTCAACAAATACTGCAAACCTTCCAAAAGTCTTCATTTGACAGATCCTCAAGCAGCTTCGGACCCGATGACAAAAAACCTTTACCTAAGGGACTATATGCTACAATTCCAATTCCAAGCTCCCTACAAAAATCAATTTTAGTCATGACGATTAATGTTCTTAAAAACTATGCTTTTAGACGTTAAACGAATATTAAATGGATGAATGTTATAAACCTGCAAATAGGAATTATTTCTTCCTCTACATCTCTCGACCATAGGGACCATTCTAACTGTACTGCTGTTAGTTTAACTCTTGAAAAACTTGAAATAATAAGATAATTCTATGATCTGTGTCAATATCACATAGCTCTTCACAACATGACCAATAAATATAGAAATTTTTTGATTGGTAACCTGATAAAGATAGAGTACTAACAAACTTGTTATCGTAACTTATACTGATGATGTATATAACTTACAGTGATTTCAATTGGCATACGTGTATCGACCCGATGTTGATAGTATAAATCGATGCAGTTAACATCAAGTCTCTTTAAGCTGGCTTCACATGAAGCTCTAACATAGCTGGGATCTCCAATTATTTCTATTTTTCCATCTGCAGAAGCATTAATTCCAAACTTTGTTGCCAACTCAACTCGTTCTCTCGTCTCTCCCTTCAAAGCCTGTCGCGATTATACAATTAACGTTAATCAACAAGTTTATGAAACAAATTACAGACAGATATTATGTTCATGTTGATTTCAATGATCTTTACAACTCTCAAATCATGTACTTTAGTAAACAGTATGATTATAAGTCTGAATTTACAATGATATCTCAAATGGTCACTCAGCTAATTATTATTATCTCGGAAGTCACTTTCTTTGTTGAAGAAAATTGGAATAAAGAAGAAAGGTTACTTCTTAGATAATAACTTTTAGTTGAACAATCATCTGAGAAATCAACCAATATGTGTAAGATCCCTTATATACACTCCCTCGATTTAAAAAAGAATGACACTATTTTCTCATTTGTTCATTCTTATAAAAAAAATGGCATCTTTCTGAGTTTGGAAATTATTTTACGCGAACTTCTCATTTTACCTTTAATGAGCACACAAATGTTATGACATATTTAGACTCATTCTTTTTGGAACTGACTAAATTCGTAGAGTAACATACCTTTCCTATGAGGATTTCATTTGTGTAAGGCCCATATATATCTGAAGTATCAAGAAAAGTAACACCAGAATTGATGGAATGGTGAATAAGTTTGATCATTTCATCATCAGGTTTTGGGGGACCATAAAATGCAGACATGCCCATACAGCCCAGCCCTTGAGCTGATACTTCAAGGCCTTGTGAGCCCATCTTCATTCTTTGCACTTTTTTAATTCCTTCTGCAGCAATTGATGAATGAAAGAGAGAAAAAAAAAACAGAGAAACAGAGTTGTGTGTGTGACTAGGATGAAGATGTTAAGGTATATATATATATATATGGAGTTGAGGGACGCGGATTTAGAATTTAAATTGGATTGATTTGACTAGACAGGAAGTTTAAGAAATTAAAAGAGATAGTTGAATTTGTGGTAACATGACATAGACATTTGTGTGTAGGGGCCAGGGGCGGAATTACAATTTCACTTACAGGTTAGTAGCTTTGCTTTTAGACTTAGTATTTATGTTTTAAAAAATTCATCTAATATGTATAAATAATATGTTCATAAATTAGTAAGCCATTTTTTTCAGAATTCAGAACCTATAAACTCAAAATTTTGGCTGTTTTTATTTGTCTTGATATAATATTGTGTCATTAAAACTTTAAAAGTAAAAATGGAGAAGTGTAGAGCTAAATTTATTTTAAATATAGAAACATGTTGTTATGTTTGAGAGAGACAACAAAGAAAAGTATCCACACAAAATGGAGAGCTACCTTACACGTATCTCACGGTTATTTTTCACCAGTATATAAACAGGATAAAATTGTCCACCAAAGTTCAAATAAATAGGAAGAAATTGTAAATAAGTTTTTTTTTCTTGTTGGAAATTAATTTTGATCTTCAACTATTTCATCAACTTTAATTATTGATCGTTAAATCAGTGTTTTTAGCAATATTGACCATATTACTATATTTTAAAAGTGATTTCTCCTTTCGACAAAAGTCAAATAAGTAAAGCTAGTTATTAGCCCGCCATTTACATGAAAGCACGTCAACAAAATAATATATTCAATTATTGGGTGCTAGTTAATATGTTAATTCTTGTGTTTGGTTTATCTATTAGGTGTTCGATTTAGAAAAATAAATAAATTATTTTATCTCCGTTCAATGTATTATGAGTAATAAAATTATCGAAATATTTTAAACATTAAAGAGTATTTAATTTGATTAAATTATTCTTATCTCTTTTTTAAACGAGCTCGGAGGAGAATTAACCATTCAATCTTTTGTGACCAAACAAAATTTGAAAAAGAAATACATACGGAGAGAAATAATCAATCAATCAAGAACATAAAGCCATTTTATTTCAAATAAGGTATCAACAAGTCACAAAAACCTTTGAGTTGTGATTTCAATTTATTATATATGGCAAAAGGTTACGTCACTGATGGTAGTGGGTGGTGATTGTGGATAAACTGATGGTGAATAGAGTGGTAATTGGTGATTGTGGACATAATAAGAAAATCGATACTAGATAAGTATTTATTATGAAGTGTACACAATTTCAAAGAGGAGATGGGATAGCTCGCAAAGGATGAGCTTTGGCTATGATGGCACCAAATTTCTCCTCCATGTTCAAGTCTTTTGGCTCAATGCATGCCTCAAGTTTCCAATTGAATGAATTCAACATCGAGCCCAATATTAGTGGCATCAATCTCAATGCCAATGGAAATCCAGGGCATGTTCTTCGGCCAGCACCAAATGGAATCAATTCAAAATCTTTTCCACGCACATCCAATTCTAAACTCTGGAATCTCTCAGGTTTAAACACTAAAGTGTCTTCCCAAAAAGAAGAATCACGACCAATTGCCCATGCATTGACTAGTACTAGTGAACCCTTTGGAATGATATAATCACACAATTCAACATCTTGGTCCACCGTGCGGGGGATTAAGAATGGAGCTGGTGGGTGAAGTCGTAATGTTTCTTTGATGATAAATTGCAAGTAAGGGAGTCTAGATACATCAGCTTCTTCTATTGGTTTACCTTTTCCAACGACTTGTGCAAGCTCAGCTTGGGCTTTCTGCATAATCTCTGGATGTCCAAGTGTTTCTACGATTGCCCATTCTAACGTGCTTGTAATTGTATCAATACTACCAATACATAAGTCCTGTAACATTTTTGTAATTCTCACAAATAAACTTAAAAAAATAGTATTTCAAACTAGCACATCATGTTTTCTTAACCATGCATCAAATTATACAACTTGCTATGAATACAAGAAAAAATTATTTATGTTCACTATGATAAAAGGATGGAAATTTACATCTCAAAAATTTTAATGATAAAAGAGAAGAGAACGAACCAGGAGTGTGGAATTTATAAAATTTTGATCCATCTCTTGGGGATTTTCTGCACTGAGGTTGAGAAGCACTTGTAAAATATCACTCTTTTCACTCTGCTTCGTTTTCTTTTCTTCCAACCGCTCATTGATCATATCACCAAAGAGTTTATACAACTTACCAAAAAGGATGTTTGTGCGATACCTTATTCTTTGAGGATCAATCTTTTCAAGTATAGGGAAAAAATCCACTAGGTTGATCTTCCCAGCAACATCAGCGATGCCCCAGATCATGTCCTTCAACTCAACCTTTAAATTTTAAAAAGATTAAATTCTCAGATGGTTACTCAACTAATTAAAAAATCATGCATGTTATTCAATTCTACCTTTGAATCCGAATAAAGATGAACCAAATCCTTGGAGAAAAGGGTGTTTGACACTAAATTGAGATTAGTCTTGAAAACAATTTGACCTACATCCACAGCTTCACCTTGTTGACAACATTTTTCACAATAAGCAAGCAATTCATTCACTTTTTGAGACCTTAGATGTTGATTTGCATCAAGCCTATTGGTAGAGAAGATATTTATGTTCATGATTCTCCGAAGCATTCGCCATTGAGGACAAACAGGAAGCCAAACTGTAGAGAATTTGTAATGGTTGTGTGCTTGAAGGGCATCAGGGATAAATCTAGTGGAAAAGGCTAAGTCTTGTTTTTGAAGGACTTGTTTTGCCATAGCTGATGAAGAAATGACCACTAATGTTATTTGTCCTAATTTTAAACTCATAATTGGACCATAAATTTTTGCAAGATTGGCTAGTGATACATGGGGTTTTGTAACTAACAAGTGAAGATTTCCAATAATTGTCCATGGTGATGGCCCTGGTGGAACTTTTTTGCTTCCTTTGCTACATAGTTTTGCTATAATATAAACAAAACTTATCAAGGCAAAACTTGATCCCATCACAAGTGTATAGTAATCCATTATCTCTTATCACTCTCTTCCTTCCAACTTTGATATTATTGATGTGTTAGAAAGTTTCAACCTCTACCAATTATTATATGATTTGAAATATTTTAAGTTGTTAATTATTGTCATTTATAATACTTTTTATATAATTTATAAATTACTCCCTATGTTTCAAATTAAGGAAGGACAATTATTTTTACCTATTATATATATCCTCAATTTATGAATATTTTTGCTATGATATTACAAAGGATAGCCAATACTAAAATTGATCCAAACACAATTGTATAGTAATCCATTATGCCTCTCTCCCTTGCTTCAACTTTGAAATTAAGCTAACAAGGAGTATATGATAAATGATACAGGGTGCATGTGTGTGTCAGTAAATGTCATAAAATCAATAAATATTACCTTAAGAAAATCTTAATTAAAATGATTTCTCTCTTTCAATTTTTCGCTCCTAAAAATCAATCAATTTTTATTGGAGTCGCTCCAACGAACATTTAGGGACATGATTAATGATAGTGATTCTTTAATAAGGAAACTTGAGAAATCATATGTTCTATTTATTTTTTTTCGTTTTAATGAACAATGAGATTGAAGGAATAATTAATATTCTCTTTTACAAAAAAAAATTCTCAAATGAATTTTATAATATCAAAAATAGGTCCAATTAAAAAAAAATGTCCCTTCGAAGTCTCGCACGCTCTTTTTGATCAGGAGCGGGGTGAACAATTTATGTCGATGCTGACGCCTGCGGTAGCGCCTCTGGAGCCGCCCCGCTCTGCCCCTTTAGTAGGTGATTCACTACGGAAGTAGGATAGAGACGAAATAGAAGGGTAGGCCAGCCTTATATACAAAAACCCATCACTCCAAATTGACTTTGCAGTAATCGACTGGTCAGAGGCGGCTTAATATATTAGTAGCCTATCGCCAAATTCGAACGAAGATCATAAATTTTAATTATTCTTAAAAATAATTTATTTATATTTAATTCGTTTAGTATTTTTTGATATGCAATATTTTAGATTTATCAAAATTTCTAATGAACTTTTTCTCCTTTATGAAAATTTATATTTTCTAAATAATTCAATTTTTAAAAAAAAAAATCATAATCTATCTTTAAAAAAAACTAGGTGGCCTAAGGCTACTGTCATTTTTTTAGGCTAGTAGAGCCATCCCTGGACCTTGTCATATCAAAGAGTAGAAGAAGACATATGGAGTAATATTTAATATTCGCATTAAAATTTCATCATTTTGAAATAAAATTTACTCTTGAAAAGACTATTTTATCTTCTAATTTTTAATAATTAACGTGTAATTATAGATGTATTCTACTATTATTATTATTATTATTATTATTATTATTATTATACATAGACATATATAAGGGAAAAATTAGCAAATATTCAAAAATGGTGAATGACGAAATTAAAGATTACCCTAAAATAGACCTTTTTGCTAATATTCAGTTGGACATAATTAATGGTCTAGTTTTTCTGCTTTTAAATAGACTATTCTCTTCAAAGATAGGGATATTGATATCTATATATAGTTCTAAGAATTGTTGGCATATGTTTAGCCAAGATTAGATTAAATTCTAAAAAGTTTCGCATTATATAGCAAAAATCTAAAAAGTTTGGCATTATATATTAGCAAAAATTCATTGTGTCCACAAACACATCTTATTGTTTTATTATTAAAACTAAAATGTACATGACATACGACTTGTATTTTAACTGACAAAATGTGTTTGTATCAATTTTTGCTTTGATTTTTCTTTATATTATAGCAAAAATATTCAGAAGCGGAAGCAAAAAACTTCCACCATGGCCAATTATGGGAAATCTTCACTTTGTAGGTCAAATTGCTGTCAAAATAATAAGTTGATTGTAACATCAGAATATGTTGTGTATCGATATGTATATTTAGTACAACGTGTATATTATCTATATACTAGATAGTTTAAAGGAATTGAGCGGTAATTATTCATTTTAGAATCAAATTAAACTATTTTAAAAAAAATTATTATGATTTTATATAACATATTAAGGACAAGAAGGTGTCTATATTTTCATGGATTAATTTTGTCAGCTCTGATTACAATATTGATATAACAGTTTATTATTTTTTTATTTCAATTAACGGTAGATACAAATGATTTGAATTTTTGGTGTTAATATCAACATGAATGACCCCTTTTTTGGATTCAAATGTAGAGTTGAATGTGATTTTGACATCCTAACCCCCCATTTTGACCTTTTATAGAAATTAATGATTCATTTAGGGTGTGTTTGGTACGGATGTTTTCTAATTTTTCCATGTTTGGTTGACTTAAATGTTTGGAAAATATTTTTCAAATCAATTCATTTTACTCAAATTTAAGGTAAATGACTTCCCTTTCAAAATTAGGGAAAACAATTTCCAAACCTTTATTTCATACTTTAAATTTTTTGTTTACCCTACCCATACCCCGTACTCGACCCTACCCATTCAAAAAAAAATAAAAATAAATTAAAAGTACTTATTTTTAAAATTTCAAATATATTTTATCCCTACCACCAAACTAGCCCCCCTCCCCCGCCACCCCAAACAAAAAAAAAAATTTGAAAAATGTTTCAAATTTTAAAAAATATTTTAATTTTTTTTTCACGTCACCCCCCCTCTCCCCGCCCGCCCGCCCACCAGCCACCCCTCCCCCCAAACAAGATCACCCCCGCCTAGGCCACCCCGTCCTCCGCCATCACTGTCAAAAATTATTGGTTTTCCTTTTCCAACGACTTGTGCAATCTCAGCTTGGACTTTCTTCATAATCTCTGGTTGTCTAAGTATTTCTGCCATTGCCCATTCTAACGTGCTTGTAATTGTATCGATTCCACCAATAAATATGTCCTGTAAATTAAATTTGGTAATTCTCTCAAATAAACTTAAAAAAGTAGCACATCATGTCTTCTTAACCATGCATCAAAAGAGAAGAGAAGAGAACGAACCAGGAGCATGGAATTCACATAATTTTGATCCATCTCTTGGGGATTTTCTGCACTGTGGTTGAGAAGCACTTGTAAAATATCACTCTTTTCGCTCTTTTCTTCCAACCGCTCATTGATCATATCAACAAAGAGTTTAAACAACTTACCAAAAAGGATGTTTGTGCGATGCCTTATTCTTTTCAAGTAAAGGGAAAAAATCCACTAGGTTGATCTTCCCAGCAACATCAACGATGCCCCAGATCACGTCCTTCAATTCAACCTTCAACTTTTAAAAGTAATATATTAATTTCTCACCCAGCTAATTATACGTTATTAAACAATCATGTTATTCAATTATACCTTTGAATCCGAATAAAGATGAACCAAATCCTTGGAGAAAAGGGTGTTTGACGCTAAATTGAGATTAGTCTTGAAAACAATTTGACCAACATCCACAGCTTCACCTTGTTGACAACATTTTTCACAATAAGCAATCAATTCATTCACCTTTTGAGACCTTAGATGTTGATTTGCATCAAGCCTATTGGTAGAGAAGATATTTATGTTCAATATTCTCCGAAGCATTCGCCATTGAGGACAAACAGGAAGCCATGACATAGAAAATTTGCAATAGTTTTGTGCTTGAAGGGCATTAGGGATAAATCTAGAAGAAAAGGCTAAGTCTTGTTTTGCCATAGCTGATGAACAAATGACCACTAGTGTTATTTGTCCTAACTTTAAACTCATAATTGGACCATATTTTTTTGCAAGATTGGCTAGTGATATATGAGGTTTTGTAACTAACAAGTGAAGATTTCCAATAATTGTCCATGGTGATGGCCCTCGTGGAAGTTTTTTGCTTCCTTTGCTACATATTTTTGCTATATTATTAACAAAACTGATCAAGGCAAAACTTGATCCAAAACCCCCCACCCATTTAAATAAATCAAACCCATTTCATTCCATTTCTTGATGAAAATCTCAAGAAGACCAGCAAGCTTGGCAGAATCATGAGCTCCATTGACGAGGGAAGTTTCAGTTTTTTCATCAAAATTTTATAGTGTAAGATGTTGGCCTTGCTAGAGTTTTGGCAATACTTGTAGAAGGCATCATCACTGTTGGCGGCTCTAATATTCTGCAAAAGCATTTTTTATTCAATAAAATTTACTAAAGGTGAATCTATGGCACATGACACCCACGAATAGGAAAGACAGAGGAAGATAGACGAGTTCACACACACAAAACAATGCATTTCAGTTCAATTTGAACGGTTAAAATAATTTATCGCCATTGAAGATCAGTTTTAGTAGAAGCTTGCTTGTTCACCAATTTCTCTGGAACGATTAAAAAAATTGAACAATTTATAAAATAAAAAAAGAGGTACCGATTTCTTTAGAAAATTTAGTAAGCTAATAGATCAAAATACTATTGTAAACTTTAAATGGCTGGGGGGTTTTGTTTCCAATTGGGGAGACAATGAAATGAAATGGGTTTGATTTATTTAAATGAGCGGGGCTTTTGTTTCCAATTGGGTCGGGTGGGCATGGTGAAAAGTTATTGAGTGGGGTATTTTAAAAGCCACATGGCATTTTCTAAAATTAGAGACAAAAAAATAAAATTTTAATTTATTAAATATTGGTCTGTTAAGTAAAAGGGCATATATGAGCCATTTCTATAACAGCAAGGGCATATATGAGCCACTTTTTAAACGGAGGGTATATCAGCTCCAAATCATAAAGTTCAGGGGTAAATCAGACCCTTTTCCCATAATATATTCAATTATTGGGTGCTAGTTAATGTTAATTCTTTTGTTTAGTTTATTTATTAGGTGTTGGATTTAGAAAAAAAAAGGGCTAATTACTTGAGTGGATCCCTTTTAAAAAATAATTACTTATTTTAAATATACTCTTTAATTATTACCATTTATAGCAATATATAACAATACTATATATTTTATTAGATTTGTCTCTCTCTTGCCTCTTTCTCCCTTTTCTCTCTCGCTCTTTCTCCCTTTTTTTTCTTTATGTTGTTCTTTCTCTTTTGTTTTTCTTTTTGCTACTTTTTTTTTTTGCTCTTTCTCTTACTTTTTTTCCCTTTCTCTCTCTATTTTCTTTTGTAGAGTAGTTAATGATTCGTAGACTAAATAAAATTTGTATCAATAATTAATTAATTAGACAAGTAATCTAATCGTAACAAATGAAGAGACATAATAAATTGCAAAATGAATTACATTTACATTAAAAATGTATTCCACAAATATTAAAGTTGAATTAGTAGAGAATTAAATATGAATGCAAAATGTAGCAAACCAAATAGCATTCTATGTAAACTGAATGAATTTGTATCAACAATGAATTTCACAAGTAATTCAATCGTAACAAATCAATAAATTACAAAATGAATTAAAATTGTATTGAAAAGTGTATTACACAAATATTAAACAAGTAAATAAATTAAATTTGCTTTAAAATTGTATTACACGATATTAAAGTTGAATTAGAAGAGAAAATTAAGAATGAATGAAAAACATAAGTAACGAAAGACAAGACACCGATCTATAAACTGAATTAAATTTGTATTATTCATGAATAAAACATGTATTATATGTGTCTTATAAATTATTTTGGATTTGTATCACTAAGAACGTAAGTGATGTTTGCAATATGTATTAAAGATGTATTGTGCATATATTATAAGTGTGTTACCTAAATTGTTTTAGTTGATATCATTAAAAAGGGAGTGAAATTTGCAATATGTATTATAAATGTAGGATGTATTGTTCATGATTTTTATACAATTTTAATACAATTATGAAACATATCTAATGCAACTTTAATACAAACCCGATATAGTTCCATAAACTTCATCCTTTTCGTGCTTCAATCTAGTATTTCTCCTAAAATCAATTCTAAACTTTATCAAACACTCTTTAAATTGAGATATAAACTCCAAAAGATATTTTCAATTATTTGTAGGAACAACCTATCCAAACTAATCGCAAACGAAAGAGCAAACAAGTAATCTAATCATAACAAATGAAGAAACATAATAAACTGCCGAATGAATTAAAGTTGAATTAAAAATGTATTATACACATATTAAAGTTGAATTAGAAGCGAATTAAACATGAATGCAAAATGTAGCAAACTAAAGAGCATTATTTGATTTGTAAACTAAATAAAACTTGTATCAATAATGAAATAATAAAGTAATTCAATCGTAACAAATCAACCAATAAACTGCAAATGAATTAGCTTGTATTAAAAGTGTATTACACAAATATTAAAATTGAATTAGAAGAGAGAATTAAGCACGAATAAAAAATGTAACTAATGAAAGAGCAGCCAATGATCTACAAAGTGAATTAAACTTATATAAAAAAAAATGAATTAAACAAGTAATCTAATAGTAACAAATAATAAACTACAAAATGAATTAAATTTGCATTAAAAGTGTATACACAATATTAAAGTTGAATTAGAAGAGAAAATTAAGAATAAATGAAAAATGTAACTAACGAAAGACAAGACAATAATCTATAGACTAAATTAAACTTGTATTATTCATGAATAAAACATGTATTATATATATGTGTTATAAATTATTTTGGTTTGTATCACTAAGAACATGAGTGATGTTTGCAATATATATTAAAAATGTAGTGTGCATGTATTATAAATGTATTATTAAGTGTGTTACCTAAATCATTTGGTTGGTATCACTAAGAAGAGAATAAAGTTTGCAATATGTATTATAAATGTACTGTACATGATTTTAATACAATTATAAAAACATATCTAATTCAACTTTAATACAATTGCGATATAGTTCCATAAACTTTACCTTTTTTGAGTTTCAATCTTATATTTCTCCTAAAATCAATTATAAACTTAACTGAACCCTCTTAAAATTGAGATATAAACTTTAAATTGCATTTTCAATTATTTGTAGGATCAACCTATCCAAACTAATCTAGTTCGTAAGATTCATAAAATGAATTCAAAATTTGAAGCTTTATAGTGACCATCAATGGTGAATTCTTGTTGTTGTAATTTTAGAGATTTGAAATTTTTGTTTGAGAATATGATATTGTTAAAAAAAATATTATTTTTTTATTTCTCTTCTCGTCGTGTTTTTGGATAAAAATAGTGAAATATGGATAAAAATTGATTTGAGAATAATTATTTAAATGAAAATTTTAAAAGAAGAAGAAGAAGAATAAAAAAAGAAGAGGAGGAAGAGAGAATAACACAGAAAGAGACGAAAAGAAGAAAAATAAAAAGAAGAAGAGGAGGAAGAGAAAAAGGATAGAGAAGGAGGCGAAGCAGTACAATTTTTTAATCCAAAAAATTGTTATATTAAGTTAGAAAAATTATATTGTCATAGATGGTAAATATTTTCTTAATATAGCATATTTATGTGATTTGCCCTAAAAAAAATTGCATGCTTTTTTCTCCGCTCAATGTATTATGAGCAATCAAATTAAGTAATAAAATTATCGGAATATTTTTATCATTAAAGAGTATTTAATTTGATTAAATTATTCTTATCTCTTTTTTAAACGAGTTCGGAGGAGAATAACCATTCAATTTTTTGTGACCAAACAAAATTTGAAAAAGAAATACATACGGAGAGAAATAATCAATCAATCAAGAACATGAAACCATTTTATTTCAAATAAGGTATGAACAAGTCGCAAACACCTTTGAGTTATGATTTCAATATATGGCAAAAGGTTACGTCTGATGGTAGTGGGTGGTGATTGTGGATAAAGTAATGATGGTAAATAGAGTGGTAGTTGGTGATTGTGGACATAATAAGAAAACCGATATTAGATAAGTATTTATTATGAACTGAGCGGAATTTCAAAGAGGAGATGGGATAGCTCGCAAAGGATGAGCTTTGGCTATGATGGCACCAAATTTCTCCTCCATGTCTAAGTCTTTTGGCTCAATGCATGCCTCAAGTTTCCAATTGAATGAATTCAACATCGAGCCCAATATTACTGGCATCAATCTCAATGCCAATGGAAATCCAGGGCATGTTCTTCGGCCAGCACCAAATGGAATCAATTCAAAATCTTTACCACGCATATTCAATTCTAAACTCTGGAATCTCTCAGGTTTAAACACTAAAGTGTCTTCCCAAAAAGAAGAATCACGGCCAATAGCCCACGCATTGACTAGTACTATTGAACCCTTTGGAATGATATAATCACACAATTCAACATCTTGGTCCACCCTGCGGGGGATTAAGAATGGAGCTGGTGGGTGAAGTCTTAATGTTTCTTTGATGATAAATTGCAAATAAGGGAGTCTGGATACATCAGCTTCTTCTATTGGTTTTCCTTTTCCAACGACTTGTGCAAGCTCAGCTTGGACTTTCTTCATAATCTCTGGTTGTCTAAGTATTTCTGCCATTGCCCATTCTACCGTGTTTGTAATTGTATCAATACTACCAATAAATAAGTCCTGTAAAATTTTGTAATTCTGTCAAATTAACTTAAAAAAAGTATTTCAACGTAGCACATCATGCATCAAAAGAGAAGAGAACGAACCAGGAGCATCGAATTCATAAAATTTCTATCCATCTCTTGGGGATTTTCTGCACTGTGGTTGAGAAGAACTTGTAAAATATCACTCTTTTCACTCTGGTTCGTTTTCTTTTCTTCCAACCGCTCATTGATCATATCACCAAAGAGTTTATACAACTTACCAAAATGAATGTTTGTGCGATACCTTATTCTTTGAGGATCAACATTTTCAAGTATAGGGAAAAAATCCACTAGGTTGATCATCCCAGCAACATCAATGATGCTCAAGATCGCGTCCTTCAACTCAACCTTCAAATTTTAAAAAAATTAATTTCTCAGACGGTTATGTTATACTTAAACATTAATCATGTTATTCAATTCTACCTTTGCATCCGAATAAAGATCAACCAAATCCTTGGAGAAAAGGGTATTTGACACTAAATTGAGATTAGTCTTGAAAACAAGTTGACCTACATCCACAGCTTCACCTTGTTGGCTACATTTTTCACAATAATCAATCAATTCTTTCTCCTTTTGAGATCTTAGATGTTGATTTGCATCAAGCCTATTAGTAGAGAGGAGTTTGGTGTTCATGATTTTCCTAAGTGTTCGCCATTGAGGACAAACAGGAAGCCATACAGCAGAGAATTTGCTATAATTATGTGCTTGAAGGGCATCAGGGATAAATCTAGTGGAAAAGGCTAAGTCATGATTTTTGAGGACTTGTTTTGCCATGGATGATGAAGAAATTACTATTGTTGTTATTTGTCCTATTTTTAAACTCATAATTGGACCATAAATTTTTGCAAGATTGGCTAGTGATGTATGGGGATTTGCACCTAACAAGTGAATATTTCCAATAATTGGCCATGGTGATGGCCCTGGTGGAAGTTTTTTGCTGGATAATTTTGCTAGACTATATACAAAAATCAAAGCAAAAATTGATGCCAACACAAGTATAAAATAATTCATGATGCAAAGCTCTCCCACTCTTTTCCTTCAACTTTGTTAGTACTATTCACAAAGTTGATATGTAAGGGAGTTGGACAATACATCTATTTATATACTAGTCCTGGGAACGTGCGTTACACGTTTGTCTCCCAATTGACATTAGAAAAGTAAATTTATATAAGTAAATATATCATAGTGAAGCATACATAAATTTATCGCTAAGCATAATACATATTGTATATTCACGATAAGTATTAAGCAAAAAGGTAACTCCAAAAAATTGAAAAGACTACTACAAATTTAGTTTCTCATCTAACAATTCATTATAAAATATTTTATGGTCTAAATATTTATTGCAATATAAATTTACATTTTAGTACATAAAATATTATAGAAATAGTTTTAGATTAAAGAGTAAAATGGTATTCCAACTTTGTACTTTGGAACTTTTCATATTTATTATTAATAATAATATTATTATTATTATTATTATTATTATTTTATATATATAATACTCCCTCTGTTCAACTATATATATATATATATATATATACTCCCTCAGTTCAACTATATTTGTCCACTATTGACTTTACACATTTCTTAAGAAACTATAAATAGAAGGATGATTTTACTATATCACCCTTAAATATAATAAATACAATGTCTTGAAATGTAATAGGGAAATTACTATGATTAATGATAACGATAAATTAGAAAGTAAGTGTAAAATTATCCATTAATTTTATAAAGTGAACAAGTATTGATAGATATTATAAAATAATATAGTGGACAACTGTTGTTAGATCGGATACAATTATGATTGCTTGACTTTCTTGGTATTTGACTACTGTTATCCATTAATATCAGATGGTCGTGCTATTTACTAGCATAGCGTGATAATGAATGTGCAGGTCAATATTGAAGGTTTGATCAAAATAATATAAATATAAAATAAATGAACAAAAGTCATACATATTCTTAAAAAGTAACCAAAATAATATAAACGTTACCATAAGTAACGTTTTATCAATAATTTTATTCATAAGAATTAACGGATAGAAAACAGAGAAATTAACTATTGTTACCATTAATCGTTACTGTTGATGACGTAATATGGAAAACTACATTTTTGAAAAAGAGATTACTAAGGCCTAACTTTAGTGGAACCTTTTTGATCTACAATAGCTACTTTTATCCATTAGTCGTCACATGCGTATACATTTAAGGGTCGTTTGGTTTGAATATAAGTTATGCTGAGATTAGTTATGATAGGATAAGTTATACTGAGATAAGTTATGCTGAGATTAATTTTTATTGCTTGTTTGGTTTGTCATATTCAAACTAACATTCATTGTAAATTTTTTAAGAATAAGTTGTTTGTTTACAAAAATACCCTCCCCTTATTTAGTTATTTTTTTACATTTTCTTTGCAAGTTTTAGTTATTCATTCTTAAAAATAAAATTTTCATCTTATTTAGCTAAAAAAAAATTGTGTGTGCATTTCCATGATTGTGCCGTATGTTTAAAATTTTAAACTTTCATTTTATTTAACTTAAAAATTAAACTTTCATCTAATTTAGCTTTAAAATAAAATGTTCATCTTATTTAGCTTAAATTTCATCTTATGTAGCTTAAAAATAAAACTTTCATCTTATTCAGTTTAAAAATAAAAATTTCATCTTATTTAGCTTAAAAATAAAACTTTCATTGTAAGTTTATTATAGTAAAAGAAAATTTATTATTAAAGTAATCTACATTTTAATTATAGATAAAATATAATTTTTAAGTGAGTAATAAGCTATTTAATGAAAAATATGTAATTTAGTAGTGAAGTGAACATAATAATAATAAACATAATAATTACGTAAATAAATTCAACTTATAATATATTAATAAATAAAAATTGTATTTATAAAATGTAAATTTTTAATAGAAAATATATTTATCATAAAAACAATGAATAATTAAGGCTGTGAATGTTATTATAAATATTGTTAAAAATTATGTTAATATGTATGAATGTAAAAGTGGTGTACAAAAGAGAGTTTAAGGGGATATTTTTGTTAATTTACACACCTTATCCCAGGATAGCTTATCCTGGGATTACTATACCACCCCCAACGAGGGATAACTTATCCCAGGTCTAATTGTTAATCTTGGGATAAGTTATCCTTACCTTTGCAACCAAACAATGAATTAAAGACCACTAAAAAGTTATCCCGGGATTAATTCTTTTTATCCATCACACCAAACGATGCATGCGTACCCTATCTAAATTGACATAAATTGTTTTAAATTATCATTGTATAAAAAATAGTTTTATAATTAAATTACATGAATATAGATCATTTTCAAACAAAAAGTAGTTCAAATATTTAGAATCTATTCTTGAATACCAATAACAAATTAAAATATGACAGCAAAGTATCTCTTCTCCAAATGAAATAAAAGATGAGAATATTTAGTAATTTAAAATACTATAATAATAAACACAAATTAATATATGTGTCACGCCCCGAGCCTACACCCTGGGCGGGACCGGCACCTGGAGACCATTGCTGGCCCCAAGCGAACCCTTGGCCTGGCTTTCTTAACTCAGCGGAAACCTACTCAACAGAATAACTCAACGTCGTGCAAAGACATAAACAACTTAACTAATAAAAATATGGCCCAAAGGGCAACTCGAGTCTCAAAATAGAATATTTACACATATATACATATACATGGATGAGAGACTCAAAACTAACTGACTGACTGACTGTCTGACTGTCTATTGAAGCCTCTAATATACTGAGATGGATGTGGGGACAGACCCCGCACATCCTAATAGAACAAAACTAAGTACACAAAATAATTGAGTCCTCCGGAATGCAAGGAGGCTCACCACTGACTCTGGAGTGCTCAGCTGGATCAACGACGTGCAGGATGCTGATCCGGGGTACCTGTATCTGCATCATAAGACGATGCAGGCCAACTGGCATCAGTACATAGAATGTACGAATATGTGAGCTGGGAAAGCTGAACCACAACTTAAGCTTGAAAGGAGAACAAGAGATCACTAACCTTGACTCTGAACGACTCATATATGTAATTGGACTCAAAGTAAAGCAATAAGACACGAGCCATACATATAAAGCTTGTAAAAGAATGTAAACAACTTAGATCGTTAAGGATAAAATGATAACAAACTCAACTTTTCTTTTATAAACATAATACAGCTTTTGTGGGAGGTTCTTTAACCGACAACCACCACTACGAGCCTTAGTGATGATACAACGTTTTACCTCACGTTGCCAAAGGACCATCCTATACCTTGCCATCGATATAGGACCTTACTTTTGCTTAGTGGATCCACTAGCCTAATCTTACGTGATCATCTAAAAAGAGGATACGTCAAGTCCCATGTTGGCGCATGGTTCTTATGGAGAGTCGAGTTAATATGAACTCGTGTCCCCAATTCGGTGCTCAATACTACTCCCAAAAATACTTTGGCTCATGCTTTTAAAAGAACTTCTTTCTTTGATTGAGATGATTACTCAAAACTTAGCCCAAAGGCTCTTTTTGGAAAACATGGCTCCTTTCTTACTTAAATGTAAAGACATTTAGAACTTCTTTGGGAAGTACATAGTTCCCCTAATAACTTTGGAGAAAATGGACTCGACTCTTTACTCCTTACTTTACTTAAACTCTTTACTTTGACTTGACTTGAAACTCTTAACTCAACTTGAAACTTGAAACTCTTTACTTAGCTTGAAACTCTATACTTAACTTGGAACTTGAGCCTTAGAATGAAGTTAAAACGTTCAATGAAGACTCTTGAAAAGCTTTAAAGACTCGCTTGGACTTACTTAATTTCTAAGCTTGACTTCACTTGAATCGGAAACTAACTTCACTTGAATTGAATTATGGATTCAAGGACTTGATTGGTGTTTGGAAGGACCTCATGATGTTTAGGAATGATTTATGAATGATTTGGAACAACCAAACTTAAGAAAATTTTTGAGAATAAATTCTGAAAACAGTGAAGTCCGCGTCCTGTCCGCGACGCGGAGAAGATTTTGTTCACAGAGGGAACAAGTCCGCGACACGGACTTGTTTCATGTAAGAAGCCCGACTTTTCTCCTTCATTTTTTCCAACTCTAAACTCTCTAACTTCAAGGGTTCCAACCCCAATCACTTAGAAACATGAAATCCCTCAACATTCAATAGATTTCAACTCAAAACCCCAACCGGAAACAAGTCCCAAATCATCAAGAATCTCAACATCACAACCAACAACAATACCAACAATAATTTCAACAACTAACAACTTTAACAACTCTAACAACTTCAACCACAACAACTCACAACTTCAACAAACACAATCCATCTTTTCTCGAAAATAAAACGAGTTTGGCATGTGGGGGAAAGGATCACCCAACACTAAAAGCTCACATACCTTGGTAGGGATCACCCCCGACGAAAATCCACGATGATCTCCTTGCTTGATCTCCTCTTCTTCTCTTCTTCTCTTCTTCTTCTCTCAAAACCCTCACTCTCACTTCTTTTAAAATGGTAAAACTGATCAAAATGATCAGCCTAACACATTTATAAAACCAAAATAAAAGGCTAGGGAAAAGACCAAAATGCCCTTAATGATTCCCGGACGGATTTCCTTGTCAACTGCCCAACTTTCAAAGGTCATAACTCGCTCATACGGACTCGGAATTGAGCAAACTCGGCGGCGTTGGAAAGATCGTTCAGAGGGCTATGCAACCATAACTGGAAATACTTCTAACTCATCATGAGCTAGAAGTTACGACTGATCAAACTTGGCCAAAAACTCACCTTTCCATACTTGGCCGAAAATTTTCCAGATTTTCAAATCCTTTCCAAAAATGAAAATTTCCAATTCTAAGCCTCTTCGATTATTTCACATTGCCGGATGTTACAATATGTATATTCTTATCTCATATATATGTTAATTACCTGCAAGACAAAGTTCAGAGAAAAGATGAAAGATGAAAAATGAAAAGAATTTG